GAAGAGAGAGAGAGAGAGAGAGAGAGAGAGAAAGTGGGTTTAGGAAAGAAGGAAAGGGTTTGAGTTGGAGTATGTTTTGAGTGTTCAACAGGTGGTGGCCGTGGGTGAGGAACCGAAGCAAAGAGGCGAGCATGCAGAACACGAGCACCTCGTTCGACCACCACATCGTCATGTGGCGCAGCAGCAGCAGCAGATGGCGCCAACCGCAGCTTTCTGCGTCGGTAGGCCTATCAATCCCATCTCGACCATCATGTCCACTTCACTCCAGCAGACCTCGATTGTTCTTGACGACCCATATCAAGTCTCAAGAATGCTTCTCCAAGCCGATAAGTTTCAGGTATGACAATCCAATTTGGATTTATTAGTTGGATAATCAAACCTTCTTTTTACTCAAAAGTAATGCTTTTCCTAAATCTCGAGTATTTTCCTTTTGCAAATATACTTGGGTGAAAGAAAAGAAGGTTTTACTCAGATTATTTCTTTTCCTTGAGAAGAAATAAAGACAGCTTATTGTGTTGGAATTCAACTGTGAACAGCAGCAGCAGCAAGAGCAACCTCGACTGCAGCAGAAGCTGGACCATGGATCAACCTCTGGCTTGGAAGAACTGGTCATGAGTTGCACCTCAGCTGGAACTAAAGGAGTAAGTGAAAGTATCAATGCAGCAGCTCATATCGAAATCGAGTTCAGTTCAGTTCACTACATGATGGTAGAAAAACTTGAATCAACAGTATTTAAGATGGAGATCAGATTTAAATGCCAAATGCAAACTGAAAAGGGTAAAATAAGTCAGGAAATCATAATAGATGTGAGACAAAGAAGTAGTTCACATTAGTTACTCCTATCATTTAGTGATCCTCTCTTGTGTCTTTATCATGCCACAAGAAAAATAGAATCTAAGAACTTGGAAGAAGAGCGAGCAGGAGATCCTCTTATTCAATGTTCAAGACAGGAACAGATTTAATATCATGAAAGCGAAAAAGACAATCTTTGTTTTGTTGGCTGTCTTTCTTTCATGCTGGACCATTGTTGGTCTTAAAGGACATTATTCTTTTGCATTTAATTTGGAAAGAGAAAGGCAAAGGAAGATAGAGACTCTTTTCTACTTTATCATGTCTACAGATTAAATCATATAAAAAATAAATCACATGAAACAGAACTAGATTTTTGGTTTGGGATTATGATAATGTTTTCAATCAATGAATACCATGGAAAACCACAGCATTGAATTTTATCTTCCACTCTCCTTGTGTAGAGGTAAATATCTAATCGAATTAATTCATAATATTCACAACCAAGATTGGTTATGCAAATCAAATAATTAATAGTTGTCTGTAACTGTTCATCATTTTTGGTCCTTTTATTAACTCTTGATCCAAAATTTGTGTCTTTTTAATCTTTGCTCTATCTCTCTCTCTCTGTCTGTCTGTCTGGCAGGAAGCATCAAAGCCACATTCCCAAGAGACAGAATGGCATTACACCTACTGGTCACCTGACAATGCAGATCACCATGGATGATGACAGAAAAAGAGGAAAGCCATGATGCATCACAAATATTGGTGAAGTTCTTACTTATATCATGGAGCAGAAGCAGGTTGGGATGAAAGAGAAAGATGATAGTGTTCCTCATCACCCTGCAGGTTTGGATATGGAGCTGATGTCCCAGTAACTGTAGACCAACTGTACCATAAGCTAGTTTGGGCAGAACCAAATTGCCAACAAGTGTTCCACAAAAGGAAAGAGAAAAAGAGAAACAGAAGAGAGGGCAAGAAAAAGGAAAAAAATAATAATAAAGCTACTGCTGCTTGCTGACAGTAGAAGTAAGGGTTAGGAAATGACACAAGTAGTTCAACCATGAACAGAAGAAACATTCTCATCATGCCCAGTATCATCTTACCTAATGTTTGATTGTTTTAATTGTAATTATTGCTGGTATCTTCTTTTCATGCTTTGTTGTTCATGTGTATTTTCCCTTGCATGTCCAAAAGGAATTAGAAGGGAGAAAACAACAAGAAGGTTTCCTTAAAGAAGTGCTTATTCTTATACTACTTGTTTGTCTTCTGGTCTTTTAAAATCAAGAGATGTTTCTGTTTTCTTTGATCCAAACAGTGAAGTACTACTGAGTCATTTAATTGCTTCAGAAATTTACTTATAGAATGATATACAAAGTTTCCTTTCTTTGAGAAAGATAAATAGGGTTAACTTGACTATACATTTGCAAAATTATCTCTTTGCTAATCTATCTATGCTTCTGGTTCTTTAAATCATGCCGACAATTAGTGTCATCAAAAGAGTGGGCAATAATTCATGATACTTTCTGATCTATGTTGATGAGATTACTTTTTCTCCACTAGTAATGCATCTTGCGATGGCGACGATAGATGAGTCACTGACATTTGGATAGCATCGAAAAGAGTCACAAGATGCTACTTTGCAGCTGTTCATAGGCCACTTCTCAACACTGCTTTCAGGAGTTTCCAGCAAGATTTACTTCAATGCACACATGTAATGTGATTAGCAAGAATATGGTAGAAATAAGGTAACCCTAATCCGCGTTTCTTTTATGTGTCGATGAGGTGGATGTGTGTGGGATTTGCTCGGAAAAGAAGCTCCTCCTTCACCTTCATTGACTGCTTTAAGTAGCCGAATCCTATTCCGTTTACTCTCCAATATGCCGAGTTTAGCAGCAGGTACTGCTGCCCACCTTTAGTTGCTGGGGCTTTATAACTCTGAAAGAGAGAGAGAGAGAGAGAGAGAGAGAGAGAGAGAGAGAGAGAGGAACGTGCATGGTGCATGGTCTCTTTCCAAGAAATATTAATGTGTGCTTTGGACGTGCATGAAGGGGACCTCATCGAACCTTCGTAGTAGTTTCTCAGCACTAGGAGTAAACAGCTTGATGACAGGAATGCACTTTTGTTGCTCCATCTCCTTGGACATGCAATTCTCTTTCCCCAGATATATATATAAAGATTACATTGCCTGTTTATCTTAGTAATTTCATTGTATATATTCATATCCATGAATCTGCATTCAGAATTTATGGAATGAAATCTTCTCCTTTTTCTCGAGCATCAGCTCATCAAAACTAAGCCATCGCGCAATCATTTAGAGAATCCTGGTGCCAAGACAACGGATGCCTTTATACATACAGTCTTGAGCAAGTGCGTATATGGAAGTGTAGTGTCCCTTTCGACAGGAGATAGAAAGAAGGTCGGTCATGTCCTCCTCTTCACTCCCTCCTAAAGCCAATGCTCATCTCTCTTTCTCTTTGCGGAACATGTTGGATGCTCTTCAAAGGGCATCCATGGGGGTTATCCATGCATGCCAGGGCTCTCCAGATTCCGTCCCGAAAGAAATTGCAGGAAGATTTGTGTAGTGGGAAGCAGAATAATCGAACATGGCCTCTCCCTTTGTGGATGCTTCAGACGAGAACTGCTTTTGAGGATGGTGTGTTCTCTTCCTTTGATGCCTGCCTCTACATACGTACGCTTTTAGGATTAGGCATAAAGACATGATAGTGCTAATGATGGGCACCTTCTTTGTTTGTCACCAAGGAATCTGTAGGCATTAGAAATAGCGGGGGCAAGAAAAGAAAGATGAAGAGGCGTGCGTGCTGGGTTTCTTCTCCTCGCTATGGAAACTTGTCATGCTTGTTCTAACTAAGATAGATTCACGACTGCTGTTGGGTGAGCTGATGAGCTTCCATCTTGGAAGTGCACCAGATCAAATGATCAAGAAGAACCACAGCATCCATGTTTGGATACTATCGTTGCACAATGCGTGGGCCCCGTTACGTTGTATGTGGGCCAGGCCTAACCAATTTGGTTGGCCCAAGAAATAATGGGCCTCAGTAGGAACACAAACCTACTATATATATATATATATATATATATATATATATATATATATATATATATATAAAACATTAAGCATGCTAAGGAGTCGATGATGATGGTCTCATGTGAGCATACGCACACTTCATGCCACGCCCACCCTTTGATCTTAAGTACACCTACAACTTAGATTGCTGTTCTATGTGTCTATGTAGGCACACGATTGGGCGTGAGTCTGACGACATGATAATATTAAATTTGGCACGTGATGCGCGTGCACGAGTGCTTTTCGCCGTTGAGAAAGCTTTCATTACTGTTCTTTCTGATGATGAGTCTTTCATCAGTTTCTTAAAGATAGTGATGATGAAAATATGTATAATTAATTGATATTTTCTATTAAAGGTCTTTACAAGCTAAATTGATTGATATTTTATATTATTTTATAATTAAATTTAAAAATTTTATTATAAAATTAATAATAAAATTGTATCGTGTGTCGTTTTATATTTGATTTTTACTAAAGGAACTATTGTTGGACTTGAACTAAAAAAAAAAACCCTCATTAGGTTTGATTCAACTAATTTGCAACTATTAATTTGATTTAATTGAGCTCTATATTATTTCTTAATTTTTAAAAAATATTTACCTCCTCTATATGTTGATCGTCATCTTTATAATTTATCGAGAAAAGTTATTACGCTCGAGTTATGATCATTTATATAATGTATTAAAAATAATGTTATCATAAATTTATTATAAAACGAAAAAAATTGAGTTATCTTATAATATATACTAATTTTTATATCAAATTATCCAAAAAAAAAGTTACAATAAAATGTTTGTAAGAACGTAGGATTATACAATAAAACAAAAAGAAAATAATCATTATAAAAAGAAAGTTTGATGTTAATGGAGAGAGAGAGAGAGAGAGAGAGAGAGAGAGTATTGATACACACGATCATTTAAATATAATAATACATAATTAGGTCGATACAGTGTGTGACATTTCTGTGCCGAAATTTAGCTCGAATCCGAAGAGGATAAGAATCATTTCTGTGCCCATTCGTTTGTTTTGTCCAAAGCATTCCTCGTTGTTGACTTGCAGGCCACAAAATAGCATTTCGTTCCCTTTTTAAGTTTGGTTTCTGTTATAGTAAATGTCACAGTAAATGACATCTAACTACGTAATTTGTGTGACTAGTTTGATCGTCGATTAGTCCAACTCACCTAACTTGAATACTAACTTAGCATCAAATGGGTATTATCGAGATTGCCTCTCGACTTAGTTTTGTAGAAATTTGCAGAAAATTTTCTGAAGACCAACTCGAAGAAAAACCATGTTAGACCTAAGCTAGCCTCCGGCTTGGATAATCCAAAATTATTTTTAATGAATTAGTACTAGAAGGAAGGCACTATTATATCTCAAGAAAATCTGACAAGATTGTCTTGGGTGAATCCTAAAGACCTAAATCTCTCAAACTTTTGGGCCTTGACTTTGAACACTTCGAATGCTCCTAGTCTGAATCCTCCGATTTCGATAATCAAGAATCAAGGTCTCATACGAGTCTCAACCGGACAAAGCCCACTTCTTGACCCAAACATATTTTGTGACTTTTTCTAGAATCGATCTTGATTCAATCGCTTTCTACCACAACTATATCTATTCCTGTAAAAACTTTCTACATTCTATTACAACAAATACATATTTTAATAAGGATAGTCCAAATTGTCACTCTATATTTTTCTTAAATTACCCAACTAGGTCAACAAACTTTACCCACATTTGTCCGTCTTATTATTGCTTTGATCCACCACCTACACTAATCCCTAACCAAGTAGTCGAGTCATTCTTAGCTTAGTACCAAAATTCATGAATGAATCTATTAGCCCATCAAACAATCTTCCAAATAAAGTCAAAGACCGCTCACATATGATGGACCAATAATTGGTAGACATTCATAACGTGGATAAAATAAGAAAAATAATTGATTCCTTAGGTATCGAACTTTTTCGACCACCTTAAGAGAAGTAGATAACGAATAATTAGTATATATTCGTAAATCTATCATAATTTACATAATGGCCATGTGTCAATAGGGCATTTGGCCACGATCCCTCTTGCTACAAGCGAGTATAATGCATGTAGCTATATCTAGATATACTCATATTCTTTTACTCATCGATGGGGTGATATACTTGGCACATGCATAAACCATGCGATGGTGACGTTGGTGACACATGCCACCATACCTAGCCCCTTGGCCTTTCGTGCATCGTGATACCTAGTTATATGACCCTATCCTGCAATTGCACCTAGCCCACTCGACTTTTCATGTGCTATTGTGCTTAATCATCTAACCATATTATACCACTACACTTTGTTGAATCTCGTATTTTGATGATGAAACTACTTGATATATGTTTATGATTTAATCTGCGTTTTGAGTGACGCAGGATGCTTCGATCAGGATGAGACAATTAAAGCAGGAAAATCATGTTGTGCCGGAGGAACATGTTAGAAGATTGGACGTCGGGCCGGTGGATCGGTCGACGTATCGACAGAAGGCTTCGGGCCGTGGACTCGGGCATCGGGCTAAGAAGAGCGGGTATTGTGCCAAGGATATCGGAGTTGCGGAGTCAATTGGCCGATTGGGCAATAGGCTGCAAGAAAGGACGATGCGCCGAAGAATCGGACGATGCGCCGAGGGACCAATGACATGCCGGACAACTTGGTTAATTGCTTAGGATTAATTGTCTCGATCAAAGTTTTTGTTTTGAGTGTGCAGGATTAACTATGATGGAAGAAAGACAAGCATCAGGAGTTGCGCCGGAGTCAAGATCATGATCACGTTGGGAGTTCGAGAGTTCGACGGAAGTTCGGACGGTCGTCGGAGGTTCTGCGAGAACAAATCCGAGAAGTCCAGAAGCTTGCCAAGCGAAGCTCGTTGGAACTCGCCAAGTGGATCGTCGCAAAGTCCAGGAGTTTGCCGGAAGTCCGCAGAAGCATCACCGAGGATTCATCAGATGATCGACGGAAGTTCGCCGGAAGAAGCGATTGACGCACCGAAGCAAAGCTG